CTAATCAAAGAGTCAACTATTCCTTTTACGTGAAGCGTGGTTTGGCGATTTTTTTTCGCGTGAATCGTGATTTAATATTTTTTTTCTCTAGTGACTCACCATTTACAATGATAAATCTTTGCAAAAACGTTGCCCTTGCTGCCTTTAACATAGGTGGACTGTTTTTTGTTTTGCTTTTTCCACTAGGTTAAGTATCATTATTGCGAAACGCTATTCTGCCAAGCGTAACCCAACAAGATGACGAACATGTCTCAATCAACTTCGAATGATCCTTTTGGTGACTACCGGGCTGAAACTGCTGTCATTGAAGTGACTGTGGCTATTCTCATTTCCCTTTCAGCCACGTTCGGTAACTCACTTGTTGTGTATGTTATTAACAAGGTATCCAGGCTTCGTAATGACACCAACTTGTTCATACTTAATCTGGCATTGACTGACATCGCCATGGGGACGATATATATGCCATTCCAGATTGCCAACCTGTGCACAGGAGTTTGGAATTTCAGCCAAGTGTGGTGTCAGATGACTGGATCAATTTTGTTCATTTTGGCTTATGCTTCCATATTCACGATGGGATTGATAGCTTTTAATCGATACATAAAGGTCCTAAAACCGACCCTTTACAGAAAATTATTCCCCAGCAAAAGAGCAGCTCGGATGTATTGTGTTCTCATTTGGCTGTTTTCCATCCTTCTCGATATACCTCTTCTTACTAGTTGGGTAAGATTTTCATATGATGAGAAACTTGATCAATGTAAGCTCATGTCATATGCATACCCAACATTTACTGGGCCTGTGTTTACTTGCGGAGTTATGATCGCAATATTTTACTGCTACTACAAAATCTACAAAGCTGTGAAAGAAAGCACGGATAATTTGAATGCACATGCTGAGGGGAATGGAGCCCACTCTTCAAATGATTCTCGCCGTTCCAACATCACTGACGTCAAAGTTTCAAAAGTATGCTTCACCGTAGCTTGTTTTTATGTGATAACATGGTGCCCAGTCTCCATTGTCGCGGGCACCGGCATTTCAAGGTTTGCTATTGGACAAAAGTTCTCTAAAGTAAGTGTTTACTTGATGTTATCGGGTAGTGTGGTAAATCCATTTATCTATGGGTTTATGAATCCGCAATTCAAACAGGCCTTTAAAAGAATACTCAGCTGTGGTTGCTATGGTAACGAAAATACAGATCAGAGTCACTCAAGGAATAGAGTAGGATAATAGCGTCTGGTAGAATCACAATGAGCAGCGTCGATGACAATAGTCATATGAAAAGAATAGTTACGCGGCGGTAACAATATTTATCAGCAGTCTAAATGATAAGAAACATATCTAGGTGCTGAGGTTTAAACTGCAGTGAAGTCAGTCTTCTTGCTGCTTAATGTAAATAGCGTGCTTTGTAAAAAGTTTCATCAGCATTAGCAATTGAAGAAAAATTTCTGTATTATTTTTGTTTGTTTGGTTGTGATTTTTGGATTAGTGAAACTTCAGCTGAAAACTCATTTTTCGTTGGTTTTTCTTTTCAATATCAGAGCGAAAAAAGTATTGATTTTTGCTTTAATTTGAAATTTAAATGAATAATAATCGTCCCAACTCCCATAAGATGGATCTAAACCTCAACCCTCACTACCAGAAATAATGTGACTTCTGTCAGTTTAGCGCTTAGGAGAAAACAAAAACTCTGGAAAAATCGCCGAAGTATTTTCAGTTTGAAAACCCTACGGAAGAGATTGACCTGGGATTGCGATAACAGGTCTTTCAGCTTGAGGAATAATATTTTCTACCAGTTGAAAATCGATTGAAAGCTTTGAAAGGGAATTAGATTATACACAGGGTCGGCTTTAAATTAAGATCGTTATAAGTAAAATTTCTCGAAAGCTTTTCATTTTCTCTAAAATTCAAGATGTAATTAGTGAATTATTGGCGCTAAAATCTCTTCAAGTGATGTAAAAAGGGACTTTGAATTCATTTTAACCGGCGCATATATATTGGAAATACATATGCGGAATAGTGTTTCGAAGCGATAGCGAATGTACAGTTCTTATAGCATATGTTTGGAGAATTAAAAAAATTGTAAAAATGAAAAAAAATAAATGAAATAGAAACTCAGTGCCATGAACTCTGGAAATCTAGGCTTGTGTCATCTTTGCTTTATTAGCAGAGCTTGGGCTGGGTTCATTGAATTTCTAAACATCTTTTGAGGATGTACAGGAAAAAAATAATTTAAAAAATTACCATCAAGAAGAAGGAGATTTATTTTCTGTGAAGAATTTCCACATCATACAAACCCGTTTTTGCGAAACATTTGCGCTAAGAAGATTTACTTTCTGTGATGTATTTCCACATCATACAAACCCGTTTATGCGAAACATTCGCGCTACCTATGAGTTAAAGAAAAAGAAAACTCAGCGAATAGCGCTCGACTGAATCACATCGCCCAGATTTTCAGACCCTTTTTTTAGAGCTAATTTACGGTCTTAAGAACGACGTGACCGGGATACAACAGAATGAAATTTACGAAAAAGGCAATTAATAAATTGTTATCGTAAAGATATCATTCGCTTGACTGGTCAAACTGAATTTCTAATGATTTATCGTTAAATTCGAAGTAATATTTTCTATCAAAAATAGAAGCTTATGATTCTTTTGATTGCAGGTGTTTTGCATTTAGATTTCCCGCGGCAAAAACAAAATATTTTTTGAAGGATTTAGTGATTGTATTCCCAATTTGGTACCGTCTCTGAATAAAAGCATAATATAATTCCTCTACAACAACACCGCCATCGTAAGTAAATCTCGTTTAGAGCTATTTTAAGATAAGCAATATCTTTTTCCTAAAGCTTCCTGCCGGTTACGAGTTCTTTAGGATGTGCTGAAAAGGGTATAACATACCCATTGCCAATGGATATTCGTTAACATGAGGGTGAGTATTTTTGAAGACTCGTGTGTCTATTCACGCAAGTCAGTGTTGTTTTGTCCAAGGAGATCTGAAGTTCACCTGAGACTCAAAAAAATACAATTTTCGTTAGCCGATTTACCAGTTTTTTTTTTTCATTCTACATCGACGTAATCTCGAGGAAGTAGATCTTTTAGTGGGTGCAGTTTATAGTGCCGCCGACCAGATAGAGGAACTTTTTCGAAATATCCATCCACGAACCGCCTTCGACGAGGAAAACCTAAATTTTAAAATTATTTCGTTCTTTATTTGTTAGGATCACTCGCTTGAAAAGAATATGGCAAAGACCATTTCATAGCAGCAACTTCAAGCTGCTTGCACCCAAATTGGTCCTTAAAAGATAACACCGCAGACCTCTCCTACTATATGGTATAAAACTTGATTTAGTATTCATGTGTTTTCGAATGCGTCAGGAGATTCATTACACTCGCTTTCGTCCTGACTTCTTGTGATCTTCTTCATACATTAGACAAACCCTGCAAAAAATTATAAAGAAAACAGCTGTAACCACCCGACTTAATCAACCGCCTTTATATGCAAACCTTTTGGTGATATCAAGTACGGATCATTAGCATATCTAAATAGAAGGTAACTGAAATTCATGAAAAAAAGCCAATTACAAATATTTGGTAAATTTCCATTGCTTCATTGTAATAAACTAAAGTTATCGCCAAAAGATCGATGGCCTTGCCGGCTTATTTATTAAGGTAAGGTCCCTTGTTTTTTCATTTTCGGTGAGATTCACCGATTGGAAGTAGTCTCAGAGACCCTCAACAGCTGTTCATAAGGGTCAAATGTTTCTTAATAAAATTTCATAGAAAATGAAAGATTTTAAAAGGTTTTTACTGATCTCTTCCTCAATTTACTACCTTGGTTCTGGAGTGGTACCACAATTCAATCACTTTGAAACGCCGGCAACAAAAGAATATTTCTCTAAATAAAAAGCTGAAAGAACAGCAAGGTAAGTCATTGCCGCCCAGAAAAGTTGTTGTCTTCATCACAAATTGTTTTTTTCCAAGATAAGAGAAACCATCTCAGTAAGCCACTGGATATTCGGGATGCCTTGAAAAGTGCTTAAAGTTATGATCTCCGATAGATGTGCGTCAAAATAAGTGTGAGTATCTTTGAATAATATTTTGTTAACTCCTGATAAATTAAACATGAATTGTTTCAGAGGTTTCCAGATCATCATGAATCTTGCCTGGTGAATGATCTTATTCTTTTTCGTCGTCCATCGTTACAACCAGCTTCTGAAATGAGAATATTTATCGGTTTCGGTTTCGGTTTATTTAGGACGTAAAAGACAAGAAAATCCTTTTTTTTTTTACCTTTTTATGGGACACATGACTTATTTAGGACGTACAAGACAAGAAAAACCGGCAAGCTTGAGAACGTAATCGCCATCTCAACAATCGTTGGTCCACTTAGAGCATCTTAGTAATCGTGACACTCCATAAATCAATGGAGTTAAGGAGGAACTCTGACAATCTGATCCCTAGTCCGGCAGATCTCTCATTGGGTGTATACCTGGTGCATATTCTATAACAATGTATAATCGAATTCCAGATATCGAAAGGTTATATTTTTTTCAAAAATACAGAAGGTGCTAATGATAGGGCTAAAGTGAATTTAAAATCCATTACACAGAAATATCATAAAATGGAATAGTTGTATGTACAGCCAAATTTATCTACAAAATCCTCGATCATTTCCGTTGAGAGAGGAAATTTTAATTGATTGTAGTGTCAAATTAAGATATATTGTTTCAATTCAATCTTTGATTGGTCTAGAGAATTTGCACCATGCATTCTATCGACTATCAAGAGGCCAAACAAAACCAGTCGCAAGGTTTGTTTCTGAGTTTGTCTTCAAATCTGAGTCTGCAATTTCTCGCTTTTGGTAAACCTAAGAGTTGAGTCATCATGATACAAATGCTACATTTATCGTAGGTTGGCTGTATTTCTTTATCGAGGTTCCACATGACAAGTTCTTTCCTAAAACATTTTTTTTCAACAGTGCATAGCCTTTCAAACTGACAAGGATGTCTAAAACAACTTCCCATGATCCTCTTGGTCGTTCCAGAACCGAGATAGAGGTCGAAGTCACTGTGGCTATTCTCATTTGCCTCACAGCAGTGTTCGGTAACTTGCTGGTTCTTTATGTTGTCAACAGAGATTCCAGGCTCCGCAACGTCACCAACCTGTTCATTCATCATTTGGCGTTGACTGACATCGTCTCGGCAACGATAGACATGCCATTCTGGATAACGAGCCTATATACGGGAACTTGGAATTTTGGCCAAGTGTGGTGTCAGGTGGCAGGATCAACTTTTAATTTTTTGGGGTGTGCCTCCATACTGATGATGGGATTGATAGCCTTCAATCGATACATGAAAGTCGTAAAACCCACCCTGTATAAAAAAGTATTCCCCAATAAAAAAGCAGCTCAGATGTATTGTGTTCTCATTTGGCTGGTTGCAGTTTTAATGGCCATAACTTATCTGAGTGGATGGGCAGGAATAAAATTTCACATGCGACTTTTGATATGTTCCTCTGAGCACACTGCATACGGATTAGCTAGTGCAGGGGTGATTATTAACGGAGTCATGATTATGATATTTTATTGTCACTTTAGAATCTACAAAGCTGTAAGACAAAGCACGGAAAATTTAAACGCACACGCTGAAGGAAACGGGATCCGCTCTCTAAATGATACTGGCCGTTTTAATATCACTGAGATAAGAGTTTTAAATGCATGCTTCACTGTGGCTTGTTTTTTTGTGATAACGTACATTCCAGTCTACATTATTATCGTTACTTGGAATTTTAGGTTTGATGTACCTCAAACGGTCCATATAGCAAGCATTTTCCTGAAGTTCTCGGGTAGCATGGTAAATCCATTTATCTACGGCATTGTGAACCCGCTGTTCAAAGTGGCTTTCAAGAGGGCACTCAGTTTTGGTCGCTATGGTAACTCAGACCCAAATCAGAATCTGTCAAGGAATCGAGTTGCAGTAGTTGAGATGACAGGTAGAAATTGGACAATATTTACACATCATAATTGATCATCCAGCGATAGAAATGCCTTTGTGAATCTAATTATTTAAACTGATATTTCATTTTAATAGTTGATGGTACACAATCAATTTCCGAATATCATACACTTTGTATTGAGCGTATTGTAAATAAAGAAACTGATTTAGATTTGAAGTTGAAATGAACGATAACGAGATGATAACAGATAAGAAAGGTCTAGTCGAAAAAAGACGCATTTTCTGGACTATTTCATGAACCAAAATCAAATCGTATTCACGTAAAAGTTTATCTTTTAAAGGCGTAAACTTTTGTAGCCTTTATTTTTTAACGATTAACGATAAAGAGCCAAAAGGGAGTATCCAGCCGGAAGCGTATGTTAATTTTCCTTAAGCCACGTCATGTTAATTTGACGGAAACTCGTCAATTCTACGAAACGTTCATCAATTTGTGAAGGTAGCGCAAACTTTGCTTATGACACGAAGATAACGAAAGAGTAGAATGGGAGAGTTATTAAACTTTATTCTCCTTATATTTTTCCCAGATATTTTCAACCCATCAAACAAAGCCCATTTGCCGAACGCAAAAGGTTAAAAAATGACCTGTGATCGCTCGACTGAGAATAATATAATATAATTGGAAACCCTTTTTTGATCTTAAGTAGGGATGCATGAACAGTCTCAGACAGAATTAACACCTTTCTAGAAGGGTTTAGTGTCTTTTTTAATCAAATTGCTATGAAGATAAAAGCACTTGAGAGGATTTTACTGATCATTGCAACTGTTGGTTAGTGGAACCATAACTCAATCCCTTTTCGACGGCAACATAATTGAGGAGCTAAAAGGATATAAAGAAAAATTATTGTCTTTATCGTAATTCTCTCTTGAAGAAGAAGAATTTTAAAATGGGAAACACTGGGGGTGCATTAAGATAGGCGTCTCTTTACTCCTGATACTTCAAAAAATTGTGCGCAAATACTGGGATTCCAGTCAAGTGTGTTGTCAAGTGGCTGTATCAGCTTCCCTCATTTTAGTTATGCCTCCATGTTAACGATGAGATTGATAGCCCTTAATCGATGCAAACAAGTCGTCAAACCTTCCCTGTGCAAAGGCTAGGCTGTATTGCAGCTCGGCTCGGCTTATTTGGATGGTTGCCATTCTGCTCGCCATTACTTTTCCTTGTGGATAAGTAGGGATATCATATCGCACAAGAACTGGCATTTTTATTGCGGAGTTCACTGTATTCATATCATTAAATGTAAGCGTAGTTTTTATCGGTGTCATGATCGTGATATTCTATTGCTACTACAAAATTTACAAAGCTGTAAAGAAAATACGAAAAATCGCGGCGCCCATTTTAAAGAAAATAGAGTCTGCTCCTCAAATGATTCTCGCGGTTCAAATACCACTGACGTAAAAGTTTCAAAGACATGCTTCTCTGTGCCTTTTTTATATTGTAACGTGGACTGAAATCTCCATTATTGCCGTCACACAGAGAGCCGGCTTTGATGTTGCACAAAAGGTCTGTACAGCAAGCATTTTTCTGATGTTCTCGAGCAGTCTGGTAAGTCCATGTATCGATGGGACTATGAATCTACAGTTCAAACTGACCTTTAAGAATGCACTTGAATGCGGTTACTATGATACCCGGGACACGAATCAGAATCGAATAAGAAATGGAGTGAGACGTGAGCTTGAAAAAAATTAAAAAGCCCCAGTGTAAATAGCAACAGCCATCTGAATAAAACAACATTTACCCAAAGTTAACAGAACTCATCATCATTTCTGTTTCCAAAAACAAGCACAGCGGTTTTAATTACGCGGGCTTTAGATTTAAGATAAACCAATCGATTTTTTAAGCCTTAGTAGCGGCTTCCTGCTGCTAAAACTATGCGAAATATTTCAAGAACTTGATGTCTTGATCAAGAGTTGTTATGCTTTCTTGGTATACTATAATATTTATGGTTGTGTTGCGCTGTATTGGTAGTTTGAAGAGAACAGCCATGAAGCCCAGGGCCGTTAGCAGAACTCAAATCGTATTTTGTTAGTTTTCAGTGTTTTGCAGTGAAAAAATGTTGAGGGCTTGTTAAGTGCTTTTCCTTTTTCTCTCCTCCGAGTATTCCTGTTCCATTAGCCTTGAGAACATCAATAAGAAAGAAAAACTAAAGTTTTCTAACCAAAAAAGGAAGAAAGAAGACCATCGTTTGCCCATGCTCACTCCTCTGGGGCTTTTTAGCAGGCTGTACTCGAGTTCCTCTTGACTAGTGGTAATGAATTGTAAAGCTACCTCCGAACCCATATTCAGCAGTCACCCGCGGGGAATGGCGCGGTGGCCGCTTAATAGAGATTGAATTAGTTTTATGTAGGAAAACCCGCTCAAAAATATCATTAGCATTGATTCTAGGGGATAATTATGGATTAAATATACTCGAGAGCTTTTCTTAGTTTTATTTGAGTATTTCTGCTTTAAGTGACCGTTCAATACAGGTAGAAGACAATAGAAACAGGCCTCTGGGACTCAGAAAAGGGTGATTACGACCGCTTAATAAAGGTAATCGCTTAATAGAGATGGAAATTACTGTGTTTAAGGAGAATGAATTTCCAGGCTTTGACGATCGACCGCTAAATACAGAATACAGAATACAAGCACCCAGGGTGCCTGAATTCTGTGTAAATATTGTACCATTATGTAATGTTTCAAGATGGAAAGTACTAGCTTGCAACACTTAAACGAATTTCTATCACAGTTATTGGGTTGCCTCGTATACTTTTTCTGCTCATGTAAATTTCATGACATTCATGTGAAAGGCACGTGAAAAGTATTTCAATAGCACTTGAGAAATGTTATCCATGTCACTAGCTCATGAAGTTTCAGTGTGTTTACGGCGAGTTGTATTTACATCGAATATTACACTTAGGTCTTAAACAGAGCCCATGAGTACCAAGTAACCCAATGTTAAAGCGTTGTTTTGAAAAGTAAAAGTTGATGGAAAGGTCTTGGTCAAAAAAGGCGTAACAGTTTGGGTCGATATGTGTGAATCCGAAATAACTGTAGACCTATACGACATACCATAGAGGACGTAGAACTAAGTCAAGATTGAAGATAGGTCATAATGAATTTTGCAACTGGCTGCGAGGAATGTCGACTTTCCTAGAAATGTTAGAGAGCGAGACGCGATTCTTTATTACGTACTATTTACAATTCAAACATCCGATACATCATTTACTTTGGCGACATTAAAGTAGACTAATTAATTGTATTCAAACATTTCGTAATCGTACAATCCTGATCATCAGTTTTATTGTATAAATGTGATGTTCCTTATGAAAGTAATGTCAGTTATAATGCAGTCTCTAATCCTGTTACAACCACGTGTCTTACACTATTTCCGGTTTGACTCTGATTTTTATTCCCCCTGCCATAGCAGCCACATTTAAGTGCCATCTTGAAAGCTAGTTTGAACTGCGGATTCATAATTCCATAGATGAAGGGATTAACAAAACTACTCGAGAACATTAGGAAAGCACTTGCTGTGCTGAGCTGCTGTCCAACGTCAAATCCTGCACTCCACGTGATGGCGATAATGGAAATTGGAGTCCATGTTACAACATAGAAACAAGCCACAGTAAAGCACGCCTTTAAAACTTTCACGTCGGTGATGTCTGAACGGCGGGAATCATTTGATGGGCGGACTCTGTTTCCATCAGCGTGTGCCTTTAAAATATCCTTGCTTTCTCTCACGGCCTTGTAGATTTTGAAGTAGCAGTAAAATATTGTGATCATGATTCCGGTTATAACTACGCCCACAATCAATAATATGTAAACACTGGACTCTACACTACAAATGCTAGTTCTTGTATAATATGTTATCCCCACCCATCCGCCAAGAAAAGGTAAAGCGAGAAGAATGGCAACCAGCCAAACGAGAACACAATACAACCTAGCTGCTCTTTTACTGGGAAATAACTTTTTGTACAAATTGGGTTTTACGACTTGAATGTATCGATTTAGGGCTATTAATCCCACCGTTAACATGGAAGCATAAGCCAGAATGAGCAAAATTGATCCTGCCACCTGACAACATACTTGGCTGAAATTCCAAGTTCCCGTATATAGGCTCGCTATCCAGAATGGCATGTACATCGTTGCCATGGCAATGTCTGTTAATGCCAAACTGTGAATGAACATGTTGGTGACATTATGGAGCTTGGAGTCTCTTTTGATGACAAACACAACGAGTAAGTTCCCGAACATGGCTGAGAAGCAAACAAGAGTGGCCATAGTCACTTCGACGCTAATTTCAGTCCTTGAGCGACCAATAGGATCATGAGAAGTTGATTCAGACATGTTCGTCATCTAGTGAGGTTATCCTCGGTTAGAAATCTCCTTTTGAAACAAACAACTTGGCATTGTGTAATCTGGGAAATAAAACGCCAAACTATGTGAAATATTTGTTTTGAAACAAGATGATTCACCTCTAAAATTGAGCAAAAGCAGAGAATTATATAAAATTAAATCCAAGGCGCTGTTCAGGCACCTTACGATGGGCTATTCAATTAGGATCTTTGTACAAAGTCTATGCAGGTAATTTTCTGAACAATAATCTCATTTTCATTTTTTTTCTTTTTTCATATTTTGCCTTCAGGAAAAGATAATAACCAATTGCCTCGAATCGAAGAGAAGGTTTAAGTTTTAAAGTTTTTACAAGCCAGCAACCAAAACTTCATTTAAGTGAAGTCTTTACATTTTTTGCAACATCAGTGAATTGTTTTCGTGGACGCTATGGACATGAATTAGCACAAAATATGTTTAAGATAAATGATTTAAAAGAGAGTACATTTCCATCTAGTGTAAATACCGTAGTTACTCACGAATTGTTGTCGTATCAGGAGTTAACAAACGATTCTGTATAGGATATTTAGCGGTGATCGATATTCTGAATATTTATTAGGATATTTAGACTATAATGACTTACTTTCTTTGTTGCATGCGCAAGAACGAGTTATAGATACGATGTAGGGAATAGCACTCGCTCGCTCGATTGGTCGATTCCTGTAAACTTTTTTTCGATTTTAGGCTTTTGAGTGCATTTGATAGTTTTTGGCGAGCAATAAACAAACGAAATGGTGTTTTAGTTTCAACAAGCGGCGCCAGCGACTGGCAGGCATGCAAGGATTCACACTGAAATAACAGAACAACCTTCATTTTTCATAAAATTGTAATTCACAGTCCTTGAACTTGAAAACAATCCGAAGATTCATTGAAAATATCACTTACTGCGAAGTGCACAGAGTTTACAGATGTTCAAAAGCTTTTTCTGTTATAACGTGAGATTGCGGACAAAATCGATCATTACGTTTCGTATCGTGTGTTTTTCCTGTGTGAAGCAGCAAAAGATGCCGGCGACTGACGAAATTACAAGTTAACACGAAAATCAAATAACACTAAAACAAACAATTTTAGCTACCGATTTTCAGTGAATTTTCAACGAACAATTTTCTTTTAATTTTCAAGACAATTTGAAGATTCAAATTACGTATTACGTACTAAAATGCGAAAGTTATACACCACAAAATTGATAAATAGGCCTGAAATGAAATTCTATCTTGTTATCGATTATAAGTTGCCTAGCACGTGACTAAAACCTAAGAGAGTATTGCCTTGATTTTCTAATATTTGCAATGATAGACAGTAAATTTCACTTTTCACCCACATTTACTTCCAACCTTTTCTTTTGAACCAGAAACAAAAATGATATACGTTTAAAACACATGGCATCATCCACTCTTGTCAAATGTACTAGCATGACCATTTCAATTGTAATGCCTTCTTATCCCAACGTTACTTTGTTTCTTTGCTACATTAGCGAACGCTGAACTACTGCTTGTACTCTAGATACGACAATCAACCACAAAATTCCCTAAACCAGATAACATTAAACATAATCCAAAAAATCATGTGTCAATTCACGAGTTTGCTCATAGAGCACTGTGATTAACTTTAAAATTCAAGAGATTATCTTTCGTTACCTTAGAAAAATGTTGAATTGTGGTTCCACTCGGCAGGTTAACGATTGAAGAAGTTTTTAGTAAAATCCTCGTAAGATATCTCAGGGAAAAATATCTTCGAGAGACTGATTTACACTGAAAACTGCATCTTATCCTTGCGACAATGACTTATATTGCCATCCTTTCAGCTTCTCAAGGCTGAAAGGTTGACATTTCACAATACTTTTTTTCTTACCTTTGAAAAAGGATTGAGTGGTGGTTCACTCGCCTGCGACTGTTATAGATCGAAGAAATGATTGGTAAAACCCTCTTAAAATCTTTAATTTTCCATAAATTTAATATAAAAGAAACTGGACTCTGGACAGATGTTAGGGGTTTTTCAAAGACTACTTAGATATCTTAAAGTATCCCTACTTAATAACAACAAAAGGTTTGCAAATGTAGGCAATGTTATTCTCAGTCGGGGATCACAGTTTGTTTACTAAATTTTCCAATCAAAAACTGAGGTTTTTTTGATGCGTTAAAAACATTATAGAAAAAAACTTAACAAAAGCGAGTGTTCTGAACTGTCTGACTCAAGTCTTTGAATATCTTTGCTGCATTAGCAAAGTGTGCGCTGGGTTCACGGAATTACTAAAATTAAATGTTTCTTAGGATGTGCACGACAAAATTATCGCAGAATTTCCGCCTTACTTTCACAAAGAGGCTTATGAACATTTAACATTCGCCTTTGGCTTATGTTGGATTATTTTTTCAGCTATGTTGTCGTTAAAAAAAGTTACAAATAAAATTTTATAAAAGTTCCCGCTTTAGAAACATAATTTTTCCGCGATTGCACCTGGATTTGTGGTTAATTAAATTCAGGAAAATTCTTACGACGAAACCCTCTTCTTCTCTTTAAATTTGATTTTCAATTAAGTAAGTTCAAGGTTTTTCAACACTTTTCTGGTATTCGCTGGAGGTAAAGTAGCACGGAGATATTTTAATGTGACGGTGTCACAAACCTCTCACCTCGTGCGGTAAACGTTTCGATGAAGATCCGAAGTCTGAGATACTATATAAATTTTTCTCGATTTCCTAACTTCAAGTCCCAATTTTTTTGTTTCGTATGGTAATAAAAACCATCTGCGACACCCCCGTGCATCCACTTGTCTACAGCACTTCACCGCCAATTTATGTAATATGATATTTTAACCTCAGTTTTCAATACGCATTTGATTTGCGAACTTAACTAACCTGCATTTATTATTCGTTGTAAAAGAAATATATCAGAACAAACAAACAAACAAACAAACAAATTGAACTCTTTTTTAATTAAGATCCACGCCACGGTGACGTTTTGGACCCTGGAATCTCTGGGTTCTGTGATAATGACACTAACGACGAGCAAGTTACCGAAGATGGCTGTGAGGCAAAAGAGAATGGCCATATTGACTTCGACATCAGTTTCAGCTCCGAATGACCAAGAGGATCATAGGAAGTGATTCAGACTTGTTCGCCAGCTTGTAGGGTTACGCTCAAACTTATCATGTAAGTTTGAGCGTATCATGATGATTCAACTCTTAGGTTAAACTAAAGGAAGGAATGGTAGATTGACTTTGAATGCAATTGATTTTGGTTTTTACACTCTGTTGATCGAGATATTGGTGACAATTCTTCAGACCAATCATCGTGTGTACACTGCAAACGTGAATGACTTTTGACACTCAACTGAAAGTAACTCATCTGGGAAACTCTACTGACTTGAAACGAGCGGTTAAATTAATCTTTAACTATATGCACAACAGTGAAGATGCACAAAAACATTTTCCATAACACTGATCAAGGATCATCTTGATAGAAATCCCTAGCTAGTTATCCAAAATAATTTCGGGGGTAAGTTTCTAAATAAACTGTGGTGCTGCGTAGGTGGGAGAGTATAACAGGGTAATTTAGGCTGACATTTCGAGCGTTAGCCCTTCGTCAGGGCGATTGATCGAAAGGGCTAACGCTCAAAACGTGAGCCTTTTAAGAGAGTGTCTCTGTAAGAGCGGTCCGGTCGATTTTGCTTGAGACACGGATTTCGCTCGTTTCTTGTGTGTTGTAAGACATTCATGTACCTATACTAAAACAACAATCAGTTTGATCGGATCTCTTTATTTTTCAGAGTTTTACGGAAATTAAATTTCACTCGAGCAAAGGCTTGTCGTGACACTTTTCAAGACTTTAATTTCATACAACTTTGGAGGACAATTTACAAAAAACTACGGAACTCAGCAAAAAACAAACACCACAGCCATGTATATTAACTTTATCTTATCTATCGAGGCGACTTTCGTAAACATCACGTTTCAATCAAGGAAACAGGAAGACTTGAATGACACTTTATCGGTTCGCCTAAATCACAGACGCCAAAACCGATCAGATTCAAGGTAAATTTTTGAAAAAGTGAGGCGTTCTAAACTGATCCAACTAACATAGCTAGGAAGTAGGTACCATAGAAAAGGTAACTACAGAAAAAAACTTTGCGGCCCGACCTTTACGAGAACCTTTATAACTCCGTGAACTTACCTAATTTTCGGTAATCTACAAGTTTGGCCGCCATTTTGAGGGACTTGTCAACATGAAGCGTAACCGATATAAATCAAGCAGGTAGATCTAAAACCGTCAGAAATACATACGAAAGCAATTCAAATGAACTTTAATTTCAATTCAAGCGGCAAAATTTGAAACTGTTCGTTAAACTTACCATCCCCATGCGACCATTTCTTCCAAAAATTCAAACACTACAACAAGTGTTCGAATTCCCCTCGTCGATTCCACCGTAAGAAATAACCTGTGCCACCCAAGCTTCGACTCGAATGTGAAGTACAAATCAAATAACACAACTGCTTCATCTTCGTGGCAATATCACGCTGGTATTTTGACATTCGGATCGACAAGAACGGTGATCAGGTAGCGATCGCCATGTTTACTTCATAAACGTGCTCGCTCACCAGCCGCTGAGTGAAAACAGTACGGTTCAGTGGTGAGGGCGGGGTGAGGGGTGGGTGCGGGCAGATTATCAGAAGATTTTTGGGAACATTCGAACATATGCATTAAAGTATCATGATAAACATTAGGACTGTCAGTCTTAATGTGAAGGCATGCTTCGTGTTGCAGACAACTTTTGTTTTACTTAGTATTCTTTTTTTCTTTCAAATACATTTCGTTCCAAATAGGACTAGCATCAATTCATAGATTTACAGACAAATCTTTACCACGTAAATATATGTGTTTAGATAATCGAGATAACCATTGAACCTCTTGTATCGCACCAGAAATAACGTGTCTTGTCTTCGCCCAACTCTGAGAGCGTGG